ACGAAATGTTCTCTGTAAAAGCAATTCGACTGTAGTTTCGAATGTCATCTTCGGTCTTCAATTGAAGATGGTATTCAAAACCACAGTCGAATTATATTCAAAAAGGTGATATTCAAAACTACAGTCAGTGATATTTTCAACTGAACAAATCGTTTCGCTCACAAAACTTTTCCACCAACATCACAGCACAAGAACATTACGAATGCTTCCAAAGATGCTCATTTGAATTGATTGCAGGCAAATTTTAGTCTTTAGTTTGGGGAGAGGGCTTGAGAAGTCAAATACGCCAGCAGACATTGCTGATAGCTGTCGTTGTAAACGAAAACTTAACATACAAATGAAAATGAAAAAAACATACAAATGAAAAAAATCCAAAAATAGTATTCAGTTTTATGTTAAAAGTGTGAATTTTTTATTTATTCTTTGGCAGTTTTAAGTGATAATATTCAAGAAGTTAGAAATTAAAACAAGGACACACTCCAAATAAATAAATGAATCAATTCAAGTTTTTAAATGTTGAGGCTTTCATTGAGGTCTGATATCCGACGATGTTCGTTTTGAGTTCATTTCGGCATATCGCGTAATCATTTCTTGACGGAGATTCTGTAGTTATTCAGAGGTTTACGAACACATTTCAAAATGCTGAATTTCAGTNATGAATGAGAACAAAATTGTCATTGATATTTAGTATCACGACAAAACTATTTTGATTACTGTTAGTGTGAAAATGTCATGATTTGGCATCACAACCAGCCTTCAAGAGATACGTGTAGAAGTCAGTAAATGTAGAAGTATTTTCTGATTCATGAAAAATTCAGTGGCAAAATTCATACATTTCTAGAGTTTACGCGTTGCTATCGAAAGAAAACTAAACATTCACAAATGGTTGTTGTGAATGACTGAAAATGATTTGTTTGTTGGAGAATTTTTTGCTGTTTTCTTGCAGATTAACAATAGCGTTCGCAAGAGATCTTCGTGAAGATTTGAGTGATTATTTATGGGATCTGTTCGAGGCAATCATTGTTCTGATGGAGAGATCGGATCAGCAAGCGGAATTGCTGCAAACTGGATTTCGTGCCTTAGCTGTTATGATCAAGTTACAGTGGCGAAAGATTATCCGAGAACTACGAAGAACATTCGTGTAAAAATTTTATCATTGATTCTAGAGAATGATTCGATTATGAACTCACATGAATTTTCGGTTATGAATTTAGAATTTGGGAAAATTTCTGCTTCAGTTTGAAGAAAGAACTAGAAAATGGAATCGAAAAGGAAAAGCCGAGCAATTGAGTCAGTAAAATATAAATTGATTGAGGAATGAATTTGAGAGAATTGTCATTAAACCGATTGACTTTTTGAGTTATTCAAATCCAAATGGTGAGTGATTTTGCGTGATATTTCGAAGAAAATTTATCGTCCATTGACGAATTTGAATGTACGAGAAATGATT